ACAGAAAGGGGAGGGGAAGCAGAGAGAGGAAGAGAGAGATCTCATCCTCTGTTTGTCCCCGAAATGTCCATAAGAGCCAGGGCCATATCAGGAAAAAGCCAGCAGCCAACTATCCAATCCAAATGTCCCACATGGGTGGCAAGGACCCAACCACCTGAGCCATCACTTGCTGCCTCCAAGAGGGTATATCAGCAGGGAGCCAGAATTGAGAGCAGAGGCAGGACTCCAACTCAGCCACTTGGATATGGGCTGTGGGCATCCAGTGTCTTAACCACTATGCCAAATGCCCATCGCAGTGTCTATTTTTTCTTGATTTTATTGTTCCTTAATTCCTTCTTTAATGTTTCCTTCTACATTGAGTGGATATTGTTTAGAACAGCATTTGTTCCTTTCATTATTTCTTTTAAAGATTTATTTATTTATTTGAAAGTCAGAATTATACAGAGAAAGAAGGAGAGGCAGAGAGAGAGAGAGATCTGCTAGTTCATTCCCTAATTGGTCACAATGGCTGAAGCTGTGCCAATCTGAAGCCAAGAGCTTCTTCCAGGTCTCCCATGTGGGAGTAGGGGCCCAAGGACTTGGGCCATCTTCCACTGCTTTCCCAGGCCATAACAGAGAGCTGGATCAGAAGTGGAGCAGCCAGGACTCAAACAGGTGCCCATATGGGATGCCAGCACTGCAGGTGGTGACTTTACCTGCTATGCCTTGGTGCAGGCCCCTGCAATTCTGTTTTCACTACCTCCTTTGTGCTGTTATTGTCAAGGAGACCTTTAAATCTATACGGTATGTGTACAATCCAAATATAAATATATTGTCTGTGCATTTACTTTTTAAATCAGTTGAGAGTAAAAAGAAGACGGGATTTGGAAGTACGTTGTTTTTTACAACAACCTACATAATTGCTTAGTGCTCTTTATTTTGTTTTTGAGGATTGGAATTACTGTCTGATATAACCTGAAGAACTGCCCTGGGTATTTCTTTTGAAGCAAGTCTGCTAGCAATGAGGTCCCTATTCACTAATGTCTATCTATTCTGGTAGAATATTGATAATGGAATTGTGGAGTAGTGGTAAATACTAAAATTAAGGTACTTAAGTTGCTTTTGAAAATTATGTTTTATTATATAATCATGTAAAGCTACATCACAGTTCTTCAGGAGTATTCTAATGAATGCTCATATTAAATGAAGACCATATGAACCTCAGAATTTTAATTTTATTGACATATCATCAATTCCTCTCCTGACATTGCAGTGATAATAGTTGAGTTTTTTATTTCTATTTTTTAAAAATATTTATTTATTTATTTGAAAGGCAGAGGCAGAGAGAGAGGGAGAATCTTCCATCTGCTGGTTCACTCCCCAGATGGCTGAAACGGCCGAGCTGGGCTAATCCGAAGCCAGGAGCCTCCTCCGGGTCTCCCATGAGGGTGCAGGAGCCCAAGGACTTGGGCCATCATCTACTGTTTTCCCAGACCATAGTAGAGAGCTGGATCGGAAGTGGAGCAGCCAGGACTTGAGCCAGTACCCATATGGGATGCTGGTGCCCCAGGCAGTGGCTTTACCGCTACACCACAGCACTGCCCAAATAGTTGAGTTCTAAAGTCTAATCCCCTCTCCCCACACAGATTGTTCCATAACTTCAAAAAGTTCTCCAAGGTAAACAAATTCGCAGGAGGTTTAGCAGATCTCTGAATGCCTTTGAAAATGTTATGGTAACATTGTCCAAGATGCAATATTCTTCTGTGAGTTTGGCCAGCTTCAAATATCTGCCCACATTGTAAATACAACATAGACTTATGAAATACTTTTGCCATGGAGCATGAGCAGGTATAATGCTGGCTAGGGCTCCAATAGGCTTGCATGGTTGGACTCACCTCTTGTGTTTAGGTCACCCTCAACAAAAAGCCATACCTCTTGTGTTTCATGAACACGGTTCAGCTACCAGGTGTGCTGGGAGCTGATTCCCCACAGACCTCAAACCTACGTAAGCATGGAGTGAAAACCAGCTATCTAGAAGTCCAAAACAGTCTGTAAAGCTAACTGGTGATCCAAGAAGAATGAATTCTTATTAATGTCACTGAGTACTGGAGTAGTTTGTCTCCTAACATTGTTGCCACAAAAGCTGACCAAGAACATGGTCCAGATCATTGTTATACAGTTGGCTACCAGCAGGCCTTAACAACTGGGTGCTCAGAAATTTTGAGAATTCTTAAAGTCTTCTTATCTGCCCAACACATTTCACAGGGTTAGTTTCCCCAAGTAAATTTGGTAATGTAACATAAAGACATCTCCCCAAACTTTTATTAAATATAATGCAAAGTTATTTCAATGTGATTTCTCCTTGCATGTAAACTGCTTTTAACAAATCTAAAAAAGGGATGAAAAATTATAAAGGAACATCTTTGTGGACAGCAATTATTCACAGGAGAAAATGACAATCAGTATAGGCATTTCACTGAGTATACAGCCCTGGTACTTTCACTGCCCAATGAACAAAGATATTTCATAAACATTAGATCCTCCTCTCTCCACTTGAGAGAGAACAGGCTGTTCTAAGGTGGAGGGATGCTCTTAGCAGCTATTAGCAACTCTGTGAGCTTGGGTATTGTGTTGCTATGAAGCAGCACATTGTCTAAACATAGCCCCTAACTACAGAACCTTAAAAGTGGAAAAAGAGCGAAAGAGCCAGAGAACACATTCCCATTCATTTACTTATTCATTCACCAAATATTTACTGATCAGGTTGACTGTGTGTATAATCATACCATGCTGAGAGCTGCACAGAGCACAGAGGGCCTGGCTCTTGGAGAGTTTAGATTCCAGAGTGGAAGATAAGACATAGATGTCTCATGGAATTTGCAGATGTGTCCTATTAAACTGCTCATAAGTCCAAAGAAGAGAAGGGAACTATTTTGCTGGATTCTCAGTGAAGTTTTCCCAGAGAAGGAGACGTAAGGGGGGTGACTAGAAGAATGTCTAATATTATAATAGGTAGAGTGTCGCTCCCCGTCTTCGTGGAGGAACGACACTAAGCCCAGCCTAGGCTTCATATCCGAGTCACGGCACCATTATGTCGCTCCCCGTCTTCGTGGAGGAACGACACTAAGCCCAGCCTAGGCTTCATATCCGAGTCACGGCACCATTATGTCGCTCCCCGTCTTCGTGGAGGAACGACACTAAGCCCAGCCTAGGCTTCATATCCGAGTCACGGCACCATTATGTCGCTCCCCGTCTTCGTGGAGGAACGACACTAAGCCCAGCCTAGGCTTCATATCCGAGTCACGGCACCATTATGTCGCTCCCCCTCTTCGTGGAGGAATGACACTAAACCCTGCCTAGGCTTCATATCCGAGTCACGGCACCATTATGTCGCTCCCCGTCTTCGTGGAGGAACGACACAGGACCCTGCGCTGTTCTTTTGTCTGCTCGGCCCTCCCCGGGTTTGCTGCTGGTTCTTCCCGGGTTGGCTACCGACCCTTCCACCTCCATGGAAGGGCGGTTCCCCCTGCCACATTCCCCACTTCCGCGGGGGACCGCCGGCCGGCTCTCTCGGGGGCTGCACAGGTGTTCCTTCAGATGTTCCCCTTAGATGTTCCTGGTGCATGCTGTCTCTCTCCTTTATAGTCCTCCTCCGCCAACCCCAACTCGGCTGCCCATACACTGAGTACGCTGCTCTCCTCCAATCAGGAGCAGGTCCCACAGTTTATTGGTTGAACTGGAGGCAGCTGTGTAGAAGCTGTTTCCCTTCTCAGCGCCATATTGTGGGAAAGCAGATGCATAGAATAAGTCTTAATTCCAGTAACTTAGTCTAGTCCGAGTTGCTCCCAGTTGCTCCCCACAGATCCCCCTTTCTTTTTATTTTTGGCGTTGATACGCGCCTGTCTTCGGTGCCCCGCGGCACACACTCTGCTCTGCTTGCTAGAGTTGCCCACAGGTTCTTACAAGTCCTATCAATCAGGCAAACCGAATCCGGGTCCTCTCTTCACCATGTTGTGAGGAGGTTTTTAGGCGCTGATGCGTGCCTGTGTTCGGTGCCCTGTAGCGCAGGCTCTGCTCTGCCTGCAGGTGCTTACAAGACCTAGCAATCAGGCAAACCGAATCCAAGCCTTCTCATTGCCGTATTGTGGGGAGACTTATTGGTGTTGATAACGTGCCTGTCTTCGGTGACCTGCGGCGCATAAGCTGCTAGCCACCCGCAGGTGCTCATCGCCTCACTAATCAGGCAGACCGAATCCAAGCTCTCTCATTGCCATGTTGTGGGGAGGCCTTTCTATTTCTCTATTTCTCTATCTCCGGGCATTCCTATTTCTCCCATTTTACTTCTATCTTCCAGCATTCCTATTTCTCTCATTTTACTTCTAAACTTCTGTTTCTCTTATCCCTGCGGCTTCCCAGCGCCCGCCCCAAGGCTGCTTCTCGGCACCTCGCCCCGCGGCAGCTTCACGGCTCTGCGCGGCTTCCCGGCGCCTCGCCCCGCCGGCGGGCTCCCGGCTCTGCGCGGCTCGGCTTCGCGTGCACACTCCGCGGTCTCCACGCCCTTCGCGTCCGCACCACGGCCTCGCACCAGCCCCGCGTTCCCTATCTATTCACGCCCCGTGCTCTCTCTGCACGCGGTGGCTTCCGCGAATCACACAGCCCCAGCTCACGTTTCCGCCACCACCGGTATTCAGTCCAAGTTCCCCGGACTAACCTGGCGAATTCCAACCTGGCGGCCCACGTCTCTGCCTCTGGTTCCAGATTTTCGCCTTTTGCTCCCCGGGCTGACTTGAAGAATTCCAAGATGGCTTCCGTCTCCGCCTCGGCCTGCACTCGCGGCTTCATCCTCCCTAACATTTTTCTCTACCCGGTATGTTTCCCTAAGTTTTCTTCCAACAATATTCCTCCCTCATTTCTCCTGGCCTCTCCCCACAGTCTGTATCCAAGTCTAAGTTTCTTATAGGTTTCACTTTCACTTTCAACCTGCAGTCTGTATCTGAGTCTAAGTTTCTTCTTGCTTTCACTTTATTTATTTTTTTTTTTTTTTGACAGGCAGAGTGGACAGTGAGAGAGAGAGACAGAGAGAGAAAGGTCTTCCTTTGCCGTTGGTTCACCCTCCAATGGCCGCCGCTGCAGCTGGCGCACCGCGCTGATCTGATGGCAGGAGCCAGGATCCAGGTGCTTTTCCTGGTCTCCCATGGGGTGCAGGGCCCAAGCACCTGGGCCATCCTCCACTGCACTCCCTGGCCATAGCAGAGAGCTGGCCTGGAAGAGGGGCAACCGGGACAGAATCCGGCGCCCAGACCGGGACTAGAACCCGGTGTGCCGGCGCCGCAAGGTGGAGGATTAGCCTATTGAGCCACGGCGCCGGCTTTGCTTTCACTTTAAATCCTAACTTCTTTCCCACAGTCCATATCCGAGTCTAAGCCTAGGCTTTCGATAGCTTCTTCCGGCACCTTTTCTGTCCGGCTTTTCCCTAGGCTCTTTGCTAGTCTCTCTCTCCGGTATTTTCCACTTCTTCCCGTTTCTTCCCTCCTAGGTTTCCTATCCGAGTCACGGCACCATTATGTCGCTCCCCGTCTTCGTGGAGGAACGACACTAAGCCCAGCCTAGGCTTCATATCCGAGTCACGGCACCATTATGTCGCTCCCCCTCTTCGTGGAGGAATGACACTAAACCCTGCCTAGGCTTCATATCCGAGTCACGGCACCATTATGTCGCTCCCTGTCTTCGTGGAGGAACGACACAGGACCCTGTGCTGTTCTTTTGTCTGCTCGGCCCTCCCCGGGTTTGCTGCTGGTTCTTCCCGGGTTGGCTACCGACCCTTCCACCTCCATGGAAGGGCGGTTCCCCCTGCCACATTCCCCACTTCCGCGGGGGACCGCCGGCCGGCTCTCTTGGGGGCTGCACAGGTGTTCCTTCAGATGTTCCCCTTAGATGTTCCTGGTGCATGCTGTCTCTCTCCTTTATAGTCCTCCTCCGCCAACCCCAACTCGGCTGCCCACACACCGAGTACGCTGCTCTCCTCCAATCAGGAGCAGGTCCCACAGTTTATTGGTTGAACTGGAGGCAGCTGTGTAGAAGCTGTTTCCCTTCTCAGCGCCATATTGTGGGAAAGCAGATGCATAGAATAAGTCTTAATTCCAGTAACTTAGTCTAGTCCGAGTTGCTCCCAGTTGCTCCCCACAGTAGAGCTTGAAGGGAACAAAGATGTTGAGACAGTTCAATCCATGACATAAACAGGGCTGGAAAGCAGATTAAAGTAATATTACTGAGGGAATTAGATACAGCCTTAATTTTTGGGCTGTGTTCTATTGGCAATGGATGTCATGGAAGGTTTTGGAATGAAGCAGTTGTAAAAAAAATTAAAAACCTTGAGAATTATAATCAAGGCTGTAGGGAGAGTCTGAAAGTAGGAAGATATGTTATTCTCTAAGGCAGACATTGTAATCCAGGAGTAAAATAATAAATGGTGGAAATGGAAATAATGGTAATGCAAACAGAAGTAAAGGAGTGCTGCAAAGGATAAACTATAAAGGACAGACTTCCAGGTCATGGTCATCGATTGGATACTTTTTTTTATTCATTGAATCAAATAGTAACAGGGCTAGTGGGCTGCAGCTGCAAGAGTGAGCAAGGCAGATTCCTTCCTCATGGACCATGTGGTGCATATTTATTTTCCAATGGAAGTGAAATATGATAAGTTACAAATGAGAGTTACAGGGAGTCAGAAGAGCTCGTGATGGGGGATTTGTTGAGCCAGGGAGAGCGGAATGCTTCCTTAATGAGTGAAATGGGAGCTGAGATGAGAGTGTTCATCAGGTGCAGACAGAAGGGAAGGACATTTCATGCAGAAAGGACCACACGACAAAGCCACATTGTAAGTAGGCAGGACTGAGAGGACGCCAGTGTGGCCTGGATCCCTGAGAACAGAACAGACAGGGGTACAAGATGAGACTGCAGAGATAGTGCCCTTTAGATTAGTGCTACTAGAAGTGCCAGTGCAAGTGAGACAAGGAGCACGTTCCAGAATATAAGTCATCAAAAGTCTTGTTCTGAAAAGAATGCCTGCTGATCAAACAGTATGTTTAATACGTTTTACATTTTACATCATTGTCAGTTATATCTTTATTTTAAGAGCAACAGGAAGTCACAAAGGGTTTGAAAGTGGTGGCTGAATTACAGAGCATGGACCAGAAGGCTACTTGAGTTACAGGAAAAAGGACAAGGAAGGTTGTGTCCAAAAGCTTACTTCCCTGTTGCAATAAAAGACGATCTCTTTGGGTAGGAAACTAGGGACATAGAATGGAGTCTAAAGTGACAGGAGAAGAGTGGAGGACTTCTGGAATAACCACTGTAACTAGCCCTAAGGAAGGGAGTGTATAAAAGAAATGGAAACCGCCTGTCAGTTACAGCAGATGTCAGTTACAACTAGTTGTTGCTAGTCCAGTTGACATTCTCTGTAATTGGATCCACCTGCTCTGGAAACAGGCAGAGAGGATCAATGTTAGAATTGAGAAGAGAGCATTACCACTGTGGTTCAATGGAAAAGTGAGTTGGCTGGGAAGTCTGGATATCACGTTATTAGGAAGGACCAGGAGTAGAGTACTGAGAGTAAGAGGTAAAATGGTATCATTTAACTGTATTCTTGTCCAATATGCCCTCATTAGACTCCCTGAAGGTGAAGAGCCCATCCCTTGTACTTCCCAGTAGCATGTTACTCCCCAGTAGCATGTTACTCCCCAGCATTTCGTGTTGGGCCACATGTGAGCCTACATTGTCAGGATCCCAGAGATCCTGTGCAGGGTCCACTCTCACTGCCAGTGTTCATGGAAGCACGTGGGTGAACCCCCTAGATGCTGAAAGGGGAACTGATGCTACTAAGAAGTCATAATTACATTGAAGTAGAGAAGAAATTATTAGACAAGCCTTGAAAGGAATCTTGCCACACTGACAATAAGTAAGCTTAAGAAAAGTCAATTTTAAATGAACATGTTAAAAGATTAATTGGTATGATAAAGGCTTCCCTGAGCAGCTGCACTTGTCAGTTGCCACAGTATTTAGAAATGGGTGAGCAAGAGAAGCCCAAGAGTAAAGGACAATCACATTAAGTGATGCTGGATGTACAACAAAGAGATCATACTGAAAATTGGAAAAAATAGATAAATTGTAAGTTCCTAGAAGGGAATCCTATACAACAGGGAAAAGAAATGAACTATAGCTTTATATGTCAACATGGATGAACCTAGCAAAAGCAACAGTAAATTAAGTATCAGAAAACCTAGTACAGTGTCCTATGCTGTTTATTTACATATGCAACTGAGATATTGCAATGATGACTACAAATTCAAAAAAATGGTTTCCTCAGTGTCAGTTAGGATGTAGTTGTGAGTGGTATGATGGTTACACTGGTCTGAGATCTTCAACAGGAATGATAAGGTGACATAGCTGATTCGTGGGTATTCCAGTACCACTACATTATTATTCCAGACTGCTGCATGGAAAGTCATTGCTGACCACACCTAGAGAATTTCAGGAGGGAGAGAGAGGGGGGGGGGGAGAGGAGAGAGGGAGAGAGGGGAGAGGGAGAGAGGGAGAGAGAGGGAGATGGGGGGGAGAGACTTGGCAGTAAGTTGGGTATCCTGAATGCAGTGGTGGGACAGAAAGCTATACACAGAACCACAGAGCAGAGGGCTATCATTGTTTTAGAGACTGGATCCAAATACAAGCTCTGAGGTCAATTATCAGGTTCTTCACTAACTGAGCTGTATTAACATCACTGCTCTGTGCCTGTTTCCTGTTTTGTAGAGCAGACATAAAATAGTGTATCTCTTGTGAACATGTCAGGAAAATGACTTCTTAAACATACTTACACCGTGCTTAAATAACGTCTAAGACATAGAGAGTGCAAGTCCTCAGGGAATTAGCCATCATTATCATCATCAAGACAAAACAGATTCATAGAAACCCAATATAATCCCTGATTCATGAAATAATTTGCCAACAACCGTGTAAGTAGGAACTATAGAGATTAGGAATTATTCGTAGACAGTAATAGCTAGGAAACACTCAGAGGTCCCATCAGTCCTTCAGCCATCCCTTATGGAGTGTCATCTCGGTCCTGGGCACCGCGCACATTCGTCACAAGTTTAGACGGAGTCCTTAAAATGGCGTTGCCACATACACAGTTCACTTTAAAAATTTTATTTGAGAGGCAGAGAGAAAGAGTTGAGCGCCCACCTGCTGGCTCACTACCCAGATGCCCGCAGCAGTCGGGGCTGGGCCAAGAGCGGGGAGCTCCATCCGGGTCCCCCACGAGTGCGTCAGGGAGCCAAGAACTCGGAGGCTGTGCATCTGCAGGACGCTGGAATCGGCAGCTAAACCAGGAGCAGAATCTCGCACTACAATATCGGATGCGGGCATCTTAACGAGTGGCTGAACCGTTGGGCCAAACGCCCGCCCAGAAATCAATCCATTAGGCAACCCTTTGTTAAGCAAACCCCATATCCCAAGAGCCACCACCCCGGGGGCTCCGCCAGCCTCCCTGCCCAAGGCTCCGCCCTCCGAAAGGCGTGGTCTGCGTGCCGACGCACAGCGAGCGTGCTGACGTCTGCGCGCACCGCCCTCTCTGGTGCCCGCCAGAGGGCTTGAACCGAAGCCCCGCGTAACCGAGGGATGAGGAGGGAGCCAACGGCCGGGGCCGCGGGGCGGGAGGCGACGCGGGAGTACGGCGTCGAGGGGTTGCCCTAGCCTGGGGCGCTGAGCCTGTGTCTTGTTGCAGAGCCTCGGGGCCGTGGGGAGCCGGGGAGCCGGGCGGCGAGCGAGGCTTCTCGGTGGGTGTGGGTGTAGCGTGCTCGGCTGGCGTCCCCGGTGGCCGCGGTCTGGCCATGATTGACTCGGTGAAGCTGCGGCGCGACAGCGCGGCGGATTTCTTCTCGCACTACGAGTACCTGTGCGCGCTGCAGGACTCGGTGCCGCTGCCCGCCGTGCGCTCCTGCCTCCGGGAGGGCGTGCTGGACTTCAACGCTGACCGCCTCCGCATGGTGGACTGGGCGCCGCTCCTGAGCACCCTCAAGATCAATAAAGATTTGCCCTTGATTTCCATCAAGAGCTTCTTCCAGCCGTGGCTTGGGGAACAGGTTGTATCCGCTTCAGTGCTTCAGTGCTGCGACGTCGGTTTCCTCTTTACTTTTTTTTGGATACACGGTGGAGCCTGGGCCCTAGTGCAGGTGCCCATTGCCCGGGTAAGGTGTGCAGCAGACTGGGTGTGCGCCCGGGTGACTCGGCGATTCATTTTAGGTCTCTCGCTCTCGGCGTTCTCATCCGTGGCATGGCCTTAATCACAGAACCCGTGTTACATGGTGATTGCAAGGATTCCCCGTGTTAATGGGTGTGAAGCGCTTAGCTGAGTTTGGGATGGCATTGAATGTCCGACTGACGTTGCCTATTTTATTGAATGGCTTTTATTGGCTTGATGTAGAATTAAGCGATTAGGGTGTCAATACATCCCAGCCTTTTTCTTCATGTTTAAAACGTTTATATAAGCATTTTGTAAAGTGCTGTACACATGCAAAGCATTTACGAATGTAAGACTATATAATTAGGCATCCAGACCCTTTGGTTATTAGCAAAACATATGAAATAAATCATGACATGTGACAAAATGTTACTCATTCTAGCACTTAGGATGGCATTTTGTACCTGATAGAGCTCAAGTCATATTTGCTGCATTGAACTGGAAGAGGATCACAACTTCTCATTAGTCAGCGTCTAAGCATACGTTGAGATGTTGTTGGAGATATCTGGGGAGGGTGAAAGCGTGTGAATCCAGCCTAAGCTATCGGGAGGGGATGTTTGGTGTGGACTTGAGACGTTAGCTCCGATGCACCCTGCAGGCAGTTGGCTGGGAGAATTGTGGAATTTTGGAGTGTGTAGACTCTTTGTGGCTGCCTTTGTTATCAACCAGTGAGGACTACTGGCTCTGCTCCCTGCAGTCCTCATCTCTGGCTAGGCTGTTCCTCTTCCCTTTTCGACAAGGAAAGTGTAGAATTGTCTCTCCTCCTTTAATAACAGGCTTAATGCAGAAAAGCAGACAAGTTGAAAATGAAAAAAAAAAAAAGAAAAAATATACAGTGAAACAAAAAAACATTCTATCTCCTGCCAACCAGGGATTTTTTTGAACATCTTCATTATTTGCAGATTCTGTATTTGCAACTTCACCATGGTTAAATTGATCTGTAACTGCATAATCAATGTTTGGAACTTTCATGGTCATTCAGGAACAATATAGAGTGGGACGAAATCTGACTCACCTGACATGTGCAAGGGGGCTTTGCCAAGTCTGTGGGAAAATGGAATGAAAAGGTACTCTGAATTTTCCACCAGCTTTTCAAGTTCCCTTGTGTGTTCCCACCTGATTCTTCATCTCTTTTTAATAATGACAGATTTTTGTTAAAGATTTTTAAGGAATAGCATCCTATAGTGGAAACCATATGAGGGTTAGAAGCAGCCTAGAGTTTGAATTCTAAAGGCAAACCCTTCTACGTGCCCCAAGGCAAGTTATTTTGTAAACTGTGGTTCCCACACTTGTAAAATGGCATTAAGACAACCTTCTGAGTGAGTTCTTAGGGTTAAAGCAGATCATGTGTGTAAAGTGTCCTGGCAGTAGAATGAGCTCAGTCTGCACCGAGTACTGCTGGAGTACCCTGTCCTAAAGCATCGTCCCTTCTACCAGGGCTGGAAGCAGGTAGAACAGGGGTGGGGAATGTCCCGTTTGCATAAGGCCTACAAGGTCATTTGGTCTGGTCCTCCTGGGAGGGCCTTAAAATCCTGTAAATCTATAGCAGGCTAATTTTAAGGTGATAATTTTGTAAGACCGTGAATAAATATCCACTGGCTCTTGGCAGAAAAAAGTTCCCTACCCCTAGCATTGTGCATCAGTGCTGTGGGAGAAAAGGGAGTCTGTGGCTTAGAACACAGAACTGAGAGGGAGGTTCAGGGAAGGCCTCCCAGAGGAGGTGCTGTCCTTTGGAAGACTGTGTAGAAGGTAGCCAGGTGGACAGGAAGGAGTAGTCTGGGCAGACCTCTCAAAAATAGCGGAGAATACGCAGGCTGGGGTACAAGATTGGAATTTAGGGTTTGGGGAAGAGCCGAGACTGGCAACGTGTGAGTCTTGCTTGTCCCATCAATCAAGGAGTTCAGTTGATCCTGACGATGGTGGGGAAGCACAGAAGGACAAGGTGGACTTGTGACTTAGGAGCTCACTCTGGCCTCCGTAGAGAAGGCAGGTTAAAGTTGCAAAGAGGGTAAGCTAGTGGCCCAAAGGAAGGCACAGGGCAGAAGGGCTGGATTTCACCTGCTGGAGAATGAGTGGGGCCCGGCAAGCAGTGAGAAGAGGGAGGGCAGCAGGCTTGGGTGACAGTGTACGCAACTTCCTTCCACTGGACCCTGCATGGCAGGAGGGGATAAGGGGTAGGGAGAGGATCTTGGTTATCTTTAATGTTTTAAGAAGGGCCTGTAGGACATCTAAATGTGTCTACCAGGCAGGCTGGGCCCAACATGGATTTGGGCTTTGTGGGGGACAGGTGTGTGAAGGCATGGGAGAATATAGGTTACCCAAAAGGAGGATTCAGAAGATGTGGCCTGAAAGATATTTTAAACTTTTTTTAAATAAACTTAATTTGATTTTCTGTGTTCTTTAACATTTTTTTGATTAATTAATTTATTTGAAAGGCAGAGTTAGAGAGAAGCAGAGACAGAAATCTTACATCCTCTGGTTCACTCCCCAAATGGCTGTAACAGCTGGAGCTGAACCAATCTGAAGTCAGGAGCCAGGAGCTTCCTCTGGGTCTTCCACATGAGTGCAGGGGCCCAAGTGCTTGGGTCATCTTCCACTGCTTTCCCAGGCCATAGCAGAGAGTTGGATCAGAAGTGGAGCAGCTGGGACTGGAACCAGCACCCATATGGGATGCTGGCACCACAGGGGTGGCTTTACCTGTTACGTCACAGCGCTGGTCCCGATCTTTAACATTTTTAAAAATTCACTTGTATTTGAGGAAGAAATGCATTGAGAGAGAGGGAGAGAGATCTCCAATCTGCTGATTTCTTCTCAACCTTGCCCTCTCCCCAAACACATGTGATGGCCAGCTCTGGGCCAGGCTGAGGCCAGGAGCCAGTAACTCAATCAGAGTCTTCCACGTGGGTGATAGGGGCCCAGCTATTTGAGCCATCACTTGCTGCTGCCAAGGGTGTGCATTAACAGGAAATTGGAATGAGGAGCAGAGTCAGGATTCAAACACAGGCACCCCAGTGTAAGATTTAGGGGTCTCAACCTCTTTACTATTTCACTCACCTCTGACAAATGTTTGTTAAATAGATGGCGTTGTGTTTATAACTGGAGAGAAAATAACCAGCCAACGGAAAGGACATGAAGATCCAAGAGAGGAAATGATTTTTTTTTTTTTTTGACAGGTGGAGTTATAGACTGAGAGAGAGAGAGAGAGAGAGAGAGAAAGGACTTCCTTCTGTTGGTTCAGTCCCCAAATGGCCGCTATGGCCGGTGCTGCACTGATCCCAAGCCAGGAGCCAGGTGCTTCCTCCTGGTCTCCCATGCGGGTGCAGGGACCCAAGCACTTGGGCCATCCTCTACTGCCCTCCTGGGCCACAACAGAGAGCTGGACTGGAAGAGCAGCAGCCGGGACTAGAACCTGGGGCCCCTATGGAATGCTGGCTCCTCAGGCAGAGGATTAACCAAGTGAGCCACGGCACTGGCCCCAGAAATGATTGTTGATTTATTAAAATACCTGACCGTTTGTCGTGGGCCTGGCCCTTTTCTAGCCCTGGCTATTATGGAGTGAGCATCATCTGTTACCACTTCTGCAAAGACAGCTTGCCCTCCTGTTGCTGAAGATAGATCATTACTTTCTGTAACTCCTTGAGGGGTGGGAAAGGTCCTATACTTTTATACTTCCCAATGAACTTGATTTAATTACAGAAGTTAAAGATGAACAGACCTTAGACTGAATGTTAGCTTCTTTAATCTGGCTTAACATTTTATGCTGAATATAAGAAAAATGTATTACACACCATTTCTCTTCAAAAAATGTATTACACACCATTTCTCTTCAGATACACTTTGCTCAGCCTTTATCGTTTGCATCCAGTGGATCTAGGGTATGGATTTGAACCTCCTAGATATTGCTGGCTCATTCTTGGTAGGTTTTGCCTGGACTAATACAGAAGCACCTAGTTGTTTTTGCTGGCCTTGAACTCAATGTCTCTCAGTTCATCTGCCTACTTCCTTTTGAGTGATTGTTTTTAAAACAAAAAGATATGTTTAAGATAATACTTCAAGTGCTTTGGCTGCAGAGGACAAGTGCGTGTTGGTTGCCCACCTTGTGTTCCATACATACAGAGGCACTGAAATTTGAGCTGTGTTCTGCTAAGGCTCATGGGGCCAGTTAGCTCTGAGAGTGATTTTTAGTCCTAATCTGTGTGAGGCAGGTGCCATTCTGTGTTTATTCCTTTATCTGGCAGGCATATCCTCCCCCCACCTTTTTTTTTTTTTTAACCCTGCCAGAAATACCCTTGTTTCACCTACCAGGGATTCCCAGTGGTTGTCTGGTCCTCATTACCTGTGAGATAAACAGCTCTCTCCAAGGGGCACTTAATTTCCCAGTCTTCTCCCACTGCCTGGCTCGGCTTTGGTCGTCCCCACCTGCACTGTTTCCAGTGCCCGGCAGGTGTCAAGCTTAGTTGCCTCTGCACAGGCTGCTCTCTCTGGTGAATGCATCGCCCACTCTGACTCCATGCAGCCCCATCTTTTTAGATTCAACTGTAGGGTTATCTTGAAGCTCTCCTTTGGGTGCAACTTGCTTGCTTCCTGAAGACTCTATGTACATAGTTTGTGTTTTCATGCTTGGGTTCTTTTGAGTTTATATGTGTCTCTTTACAGACATGGGTCATTTCTGTGCCATAGTACAGGATGGATGCTTTTTAGTGATAAACTTTATAATGAAATCACTTATTTTAGAATAACTTTGCTTTAGGTTCTGATATAAACAAGGCTTGCAGAAGTCGGGTTCCTGCGATAAGATCCAAAGATGTGACCTTCCAGTTATGTAAAGCTCTTAAAGGCTGCATATGTGCATCAAGTGTGCTAAGGAACCTGGAGCTAAATGGACTAGTCCTGAGAGAGAGAGATTTAACTATCTTAACAAAGGTAAGCTGTCTGAGTGTGGCCTGCAAACATTTGGTGGTTGCTTTTAGGGGAAAAAAACTCATCACATTTTTTTACTTTTTCCTCCCCATTAAAGGGATTGAATAAATCGACCACGTTGGTACACCTGTCTCTTGCAAATTGCCCAATTGGAGATGGAGGTTTAGAAAGTGAGTTAAAATCTTGTTTAATTCTCATCCCACCAGACTGGTCTCATGTTTCCTTAAATGCCACATTAATTCCTATCTGTCTCTCTGCCTGATGCTGCCCCTGTCCAGACTCTCCTCATGCCTGTTCAGACCATGGTCTGATAAAGCTCATCATCCCGAGTACTCTGTGAGCTCATTTATCTTAAGGTTGGGTTAAGCCACAAACCACACAAATATATGCTGTTTGGTCCTCTGTTTTTTTGTTTTAATGTTTGTTCATCTTTTAAGGTTTTTCGTCAAGAAATATTTAGGGGAAGAGCAATAGTTGATGTATAGAGAAAATAATCATTATCTTTAAATAGTTACAGCATTTGTGTGCAGTCAGCTTTATTATACTGTGGGATATGATAAAATAGAAAATATATGCAAAGTGCGATGGGGTATTTTCCATTAAAGGCAAGCAAATGCAGTGGAGGGTCACAGAAGTAATCACAGAAGGTGACTGTTGGTTGGGCTCTCAAAGAATTAGGGTTCATTGTATGCAATAGTGGTCTAGAGGGGTAAGAGAGCCTGCATTTCAATTTGAGGAGACTGAGTTTGGGGCCCTCTATTTTCTGTTGCTTTGGTATATAGTATCAGGTGCCATAGTATAGAATAGCACCCAACCAAATTCTGGGATTATAGTTGACACTTAAATTATTGATTGATAATCGAGATCGGGGTATGTCTTTGGAAATGAAAATAGGAAGAATATTATGTTTTTTAGATTTTTCTATGCTTTCAAATGTCTCAAGAAGTTTATAGTATTTTACTGTGTGATTGGTAATGAGTTTTGTTAACCTTCATAGTTTTCAATTTTAGCATCTAAAAAGAATTAAACTATTGTAGTAAACTGGAGTAACACTTTGTTATTGTTAAGTGTTACTAACATTTTAGAAAGTACCAATCCATCCATTGCTTGAGAAGATTGTAGATAGTGATATTAAGAATTACTACTAGGATAGATGTAAGAAAAGTGAATAAATCAAGATAGACTAGATTGTGCAGACTCTTTGTTTTACTGTGTCTGTGGATTTTTCTCCTTTCAGTAATTTGCCAAGGTATAAAGAACTCTGTCACTCTTAAGACAGTCAACTTCACGGGCTGTAACCTGACATGGCAGGGAGCAGATCACCTGGCCAAGATCTTAAAGGTGACTTTATATTCAGACTTTTGTGAAAATATACTGTGTGCTTAGAGCACGTTAATGTGATATAAGTAGACAGTTATTTTTATCTTTTGATGTATTTGGTGACTGCAGTTTCAGTTTATTGAAAGAAAAAATGACCAGTTTTCAGCTTGGGGTTCTGCTGCTTAATAAAGGTAGTATGTTTTTCTTAGATTTAAAATACATTATGAACAATTTTTTTAAAAGATTTTATTTATTTATTTGGGAGGTAGAGTTATAGTCAGTGAGAGAGAGAGACAGAGAGAAAGGTCTTCCATGTGCTGATTCACTCCCCAAATGACTGCAATGGCTGGAGCTGAGCTGATCCGAAGCCGGAAGCCAGGAGCTTCTTCTGGGTCCCCCACGCAGGTGCAGAGGCCCAGGCACTTGGTCCATCTTCCTTTGCGTTCCCAGGCCATAGCAGAGAGCTGGATCGGAAGAGGAGCAGCTGGGACTAGAACCTGTGCCCATATGGGATATCGGCACTGCAGGCAGAGTATTAACCCACTGTGTCACAGCGCTGGCCCCTGAACAAGGTTTTTTATTTTATTTTTTTTTTCTTTTTAAAGATTTTATTTATTTGAAAGAGTTACAGAGAGAGGTAGAGACAGAGAGAGAGGTCTTCCATCTGCTGGTTCACTCCCCAGTTGGCTGCAACGGCTGGAGCTGCGCCCATCCGAAGCCAGGAGCCAGGAGCTTCTTTTGGGTCTTCCATGCGGGTGCAGGGGCCCAAGGACTTGGGCCATCTTCTACTGCTTTCCCAGGCCACAGCAGAGAGCTGGATTGGAATTGGAGCATGCGGGACTAGAACCAGTGCCTATATGGGATGCCGGCGCTTCAGGCCAGGGCTTTAACCCGCTGTGCCACAGCGCCGGCCCTGTGAACAATGTTTTTGAGGTGGGCACAAGCATCTCAGTTTTTACTCTAGATCCTTGCTGCATACAGAGATAAGAATTTTAAGTGTATACTAGTAACAGTGACATGCACAGAAAGGAAAAGGATTTATTCGACACGAGGGAATAAACATACATTTATGTGTGAATGAGGGCTGCCCCACACAGAAAAATAACCATCGTGAGTTGGCCAGAGGATTGCCTGTGAAAGAGGTACGAGATCAGTACTTCTCAGCAGTACCCCTAAGTGATGAAAAGAGAGAGCTCTGTCCTGTTCTCAACCTCTTTTGTGAGGCAAGGCATGGTACCTTAATCGGATATACAAATGGAATAAGGTCTTAGCATGCATGCTGGTCCCAGTATGAGACAAGTGCATCCTGGGATGAAGGCATATCAAACTAGCAGTTAAAGGGATAAACACTACTTTGCAGAGTAGTAAGAATTCCAGCTTGCCCAAACTTTAACTAACTGCCTAGTTATACCATATTATATTTGTGGATTTTTAATTGTTGAAAAATATTTGTTGTGGCATTGGAAGAAAGTAGACTATTATGACCTTAAATGACCTTAATGACTCAAATATTTATCATTAACTGCTATAGTTAATAAACTAATAAAAATCATTCCCTTAACATTTTGTAAATCTAAATTGCTGCTTGGGAAGCCCCATCCCCTGTCAGAGTACCTGGGTTGGAATCCCAGGTCAGTTCGTAATTCCAGCTTCCTATTAATGTGCTTCCTGGGATATAGTAGGTGATAGCCTCTACCACCCACATGGGAGACCTCAGTTGAGGTCCTAGCAACCAGCTTCTGCCTGGCCTGGCCCAGGTCAATACCGGCATTTGGGGAGTGAACCAGAGATGGAAGTTCTCTGTCTCTGTCATCTGTTGTCTCTCTTTGCTTCTCAAATTAAATAAATAAATAAAAATATAAGATCAGATTAGTTATCTTTAAAAAAAAAAGGAGGAAAACCTATTTCATCTACCATTCTGTGGATTAAGCGAACTGATTTGTATTAAATAGTGCTAATAAGTGCTGTTACTCATGCTTGTTATTTTATTAATGGTTTTTATACAATTATTCTTCTTGTTAAATTTAAAATTTTTAAAATCTATTTGGAAGAGACAGAGAGAGAGAGAGAGAGAGAGAGAGAGAGATGTTCATCTGTTGGTTTAGTCCCCAAATGTTTGCAATGGCCAGGGCTGAGAGAGAGAGAGAGAGAGAGAGAGAGAGAGAGAGATGTTCATCTGTTGGTTTAGTCCCCAAATGTTTGCAATGGCCAGGGCTGGTCCAGGCTGAAGCCAGGAGCCTAGATCTCCATCTGGGTCTCCCATGTGGGTGGTAGGGGCCCAGGTACTTGAGCCATCATCTGCTGCCTCCAGGTTGCACATTAGTGGGAAGCTGGATCAGAAGCAGAGGACCCAGGACCAGAACCAGGCACTCCGACATGGGGTGTGGGCATCTTCAAGCAACTTAACTTGCATCAAATGCCTGCCCCTACGTTCATTCTTGATAGAAAAATAACACTAACAGTTTTCCTTTAAAAGTGTCATTGCATTGGAACTTTGAGTCTTTTGTTGTTCAAGAATATACAGTCATCTCTTGATATCCTCAGTGGCTTGGTTCCAGGACCCTCCATGGATCCCGTGAATGTTCAAGTCCTTTATGTGAATAAAATGGCCTAGGATTTGTAAATAGCCTGTGCACATCTCCCATATATTTTAAATTATTTCTGGATTACTTACAATACGTGATACTGTGTAAATGCTGTGTAAATAGTTGTTATACTGTTACAGCTGCTCAGGGAATGATGATGAGAAAAAAGTCTACAGGTCAGTACAGTTGCAGCTTTTTTCCTGAATATTTTTGATTCTTGGTTGGTTGAATCCATAGATACAGAACTTGCAGATGTAGAGGGACAACAAAATATTTTTCTTTTGAAGTCTAATTCCTGTTTTGAACTTTTTTTTGAACTTTTTTTTTTTTTTTTTACTTTTCGAATATAGAGACCCGATTATAAAATGTTTTTAAGACAGTACCTGTAATTAAAAATCAAACCATCAACTTCCTAAGGCATATCAAACTGACTTTGGGATTTCAGGTCTCTAAAGTTGGGATGCATATCCTAAGAAGTATGAAAGATAATTGAATTAGGAAAAGAAAAATATTAGAATGCTATATTGATTTTTGTATCATTTGAAAAATATCTGTTGTTTCTATATAGTTTATAATGTGCACAAAATATATGTGCAGAACTTCTTGTATATAATTTATTCATAAGTAAGATACATGCTAAAGCATGTTTACTTGTGGGATGTCCGGTCAAGTGTTTGGATAACCACTGGAGGATAGAATTACAGAATTCAGAAGCTTGATAATGATAGAATTTAAAACCAATTATTTGACTTGGCTGATATGAAAAATAAAATTCTTCTAAATTAATAAGTTGTCAGTTTATGTAAGTAATGAGCAGTAAGTCACTCAGCAGCTAGTCAGTCACATAACTAGTCAGTGGCAGACTAGGATCTGGGTCACTGGACCACTTAAGCAAAATCTAATATTTAATCCCCTAGGTTGACTCTTGGCATGTATGGTTGGCTGTGTGTGTGTAGATGTAAAGCTCTGATGTAATCAGCCATAATTAGTTTCCCTCTTATTCCAGTGTGCTAACTTCATCCTATTAAATTTTTGAAGTATCAGTCAATGCGACGGCATGAAGAAACCTGGGCTGAGAGCCTTCGCTACAGGAGACCCGATCTCGACTGCATGGCTGGCTTGCGGCGCATCACACTGAATTGCAACACACTCATTGGGGACCTGGGCGCACGTGCCTTTGCGGACTCCCTTAGTGAGGATTTATGGCTTAGGGGTAAGTTTAATGAACTTCTAAAGTTGAAAATAGTGCATTTTTAATGTTAAGTATGCTTAGCTCTTGGCTCAATAATGTCATAAGGTTTTTCTAAAATCCTTTCTTCTATTAGCTTTTATTGTGATTTTAAACTTTTATCAATGTTACATGTATTCTTTATAGAAAATGTAGAGTAACGAGAAAACCACTGTTCTTTTTGGTGTGTGTGCATGTATTTTGTCTTTTTTCTTTATAGAATATTTGTATATATTACCAAAGTGAACACTGCATTTGTATACTTAGAGATTACAATAATGTAATCTAATGTATTTTGCTACCCTGCTTTTTTTGCGTAATGATCTATCATATAGTACTCTATTACATTGAAGCACGATAGTTTAATTCCAAGCTATTCAATATTTAGACAGTTTATCTTTTACTCTTTTAAATAGCTTTGGGATAAATATCTCATGTTTACACTTGTGTGTATGTTGGAATTACTTCCATAAGATTAAATTATTAAAAGTGGAATAATTTAGTACAATATATTTTTATAGACTTGATGATACATGCTGCCAAATTGCTTTCCAGAAGTGTTTTGCCATTTTGTAGTCCACACTAGCTGCATATGTGAGCCCTGCACTCATAATCTTTGGGTAAAGTCTGTTTTAAAACTTCAAACTTCATGTAAATGAGAAACGCCTTTTTTTTTCTTTTATATACAAGTAGGATTGCTAATATAGTGCAAAGATTTTTAGAAATCAGTAGATTTATATCTATTACATCATTTTCATTGATAGAAGTTCCACTACATTACTATAATACCCTTAGCTTCTTTATTCCTGTTAGATATCTAAGTTATTTGCAGCTTTTCAACTGTTACAAACAATACTTGGATACACACTGTTGTTCACATCTCTGGTTATTTTGTTCAGGTAAATTCCTTTTTTTTTCTCTAAGATTTATTTATTTGAAAGGCAGAGTTAGAGAGGGACAAAGAGAGAGAGAGGTCTTGGATCCACGGGTTCACTCCCCAGTTGACTGCAACGGCTGGGGCTGAGCCAGGCCATCGTAGGGACTCTTAAGACCTCTTCTCAACCTAATCACCTTGCAGAGGCCCCACCTCCTACAAGTACCCCATTGAGGGTTGGAGTTTCAACACAGGAATTTTGGGAGAACACACAGATGTGTAGTTCATAACATGGGGTTTTGAAAGAGTTCAGTTATTGCAATGTAATGGTGCTTCAAGATGTGACTTACATTTTTCCTCTGATGTAATCTTTATTATACTGGTATTTTTGTTTTGATCCCTTTGGGATTAAACAAGTAGATTAAAATAATTTTAATTGAAAGAGAGAGACAGAGATCTTCCATGCCCTGGTTCACTCCTCAAATGCCCACAGACAGGCCAACCCAATAGCTCAGAACTCTATCCGAAAGTGGAATAGCTGGAACTTGAATTGCGCACTCTGATATGGGATGTAAGTGTCCCAAGTGACAACTTAACATGTTAAGCCAAATGCCTGCCCCTATGTGAGTAAGTTATTTCTTTTTTTTATTTCTTTTTTTTGTTTGTTTGTTTAAAGATGTATTTATTTATTTATTTGAAAGAGTTACACACAGAGAGAAGCAGAGGCAGAGAGAGAGATAGGTCCTCCATCTGCTGGTTCACTCCCCAGTTGGCTGCAGTGGCAGGAGCTGCTCCAATCCAGGAGCTTCTTCTGGGTCTCCTGCACGGGTGCAGGGGCCCAAGGACTTGCGCCGTCTCCTGCTGCTTTCTTGGCCATAGCAGAGAGCTGGATCGAAAGTGGAGCAGCTGGGACTCGAACTGGGACTCGAACCCTTATGGGATGTTGGTGCTGCAGGTGGCAGCTTTATCTGCTAAACTACAGCACTGGCCCCATGAGTAGGTTATTTACCCTGAGAATTATTAGTTTTCATGAACATTTGTTCTCTTCTTTGAACTTTATTTTATTTTATTTGAAAGGCAGAGTTAACAGACAGAGACAGAGGTTTTCCATGTGCAGGTTCACTCCCCAAATGGCTGGAGCTGGGCTGATATGAAACCAGGAACCAGGAGCTTATTCCAGGTCTCCCATGTGGGTACAGGGCCCCAAGGACTTGGGCTGTTTTCCGCTGTTTTCCCAGGTGCATTAGCTGTATGGGAAGTGGAGCAGCTCGGACTAGAACCAGTACTTATATGGGGTGCTGGCACTGTAAGCAGCAGCTTTACCCACTATGCCACAATGCTGGCCATTGACCTTTTTTTGAGAGAGTCCTTAACCATCATTCTTTCCTGATAGGTTTTTAGTATATAATCTATATTCACACATTCTTTTTTTTTTTTTTTTTTTTTTGACAGGTAGAGTCATAGACAGTGAGAGAGAGAGAGAGAGAGAGACAGAGAGAAAGGTCTTCCTTCCGTTTGTTCACTCCCCAAATGGCCGCTACAGCCGGTGCTGCACCGATCCCAAGCCAGGAGCCAGGTGCCTCTCCCTGGTCTCCCATGCGAGTGCAGGCGCCCAAGAACTTGGGCCATCCTCCACTGCCTTCCTGGGCCACAGCAGAGAGCTGGACTGGAAGAGGAGCAGCTGGGACTAGAACCTGGCGCCCATATGGGATGCCGGCTCCGCAGGCAGAGGATTAACCAAGTGAGCCACGGCGCCGGCCTATATGCACACATTCTTTTCATATAATATTTATATTGCCTTAGATTTCTTTGTTACTTCTGTTTGGAAACTAGCAAATCTTAAATTTACTCTATTCCCCCCCCCCCTTTTTTTTTTAAAAACATTTATTTTGAAAGACAGAGTAATGGAGAAAGAGGGAGAGACTGAAAGAGATCTACTGGTTCACTTCCCAAAAGTCTGCAATGGCTGTGACTAGGCCAGGCTGAAGCCAGGAGCCAAGAACTCCATCTTGGGTAGCAGGGCCCAAGCACTTGGGCCATTTTCTGCTGCTTTCTTAGGCACATTAGCAGGGAGCTGAATCAGAAGCAGAGCAGCCGGGACTTGAAACGGCAGTTTGATTTGAGATGCCAGTTTTGCAATTGGCAGCATAACCCACTGTGCCGCAATGCGGGCCCCAAAATGAGTTTTTTTTTAGAGCCACTTCAAACTCTAGCTCATTATCAGAAGAGAACAGTGCAGATTCTGAGTTCTGCTCATCTTTTGCCTATTATACTTACACTGCCATTGGCATCTTGGTCGTTTAATACTCATTCTGTGATGTTTCTCTTCCGTACCTTATGTAGAGTTACTTTTCAGTGGTGTAATTGGAAACTGCTATTGGTTGGTTTATTTGTACTAATGGGAGGATAATTGTGGCACATCCAAAAAGTCGTTTTTGCTTTTTGGATTTGGAGTTATGTTATGCATACACTTTACTGGTTTTATTTTTCCATGCCTGAGATTGAACACCTTACATGAATAGTCTTTGTACAGGAATCTTCCAGGCACAAATGAGAGCCATTGGTATGTTAAATCTGTACAGAGTTAGCAAATGATCTTTTGTCTTTCCTCGAAAGCGCTTGACCTGCAACAGTGTGGCCTCACCAATGAAGGAGCAAAAGCTTTACTTGAGGCCGTTGAAACTAACAGAACTCTCGTTGTTCTGGATATAAGAAAAAATCCACTCATTGGTATGTCATGACACTTTTTTCTTATTGATTAATGAATAGCAAAGCAGAGTTTATTTTTATATTGACATATTTTATAATTTAGTATGCTTGCTCTCCTAAATTTATACTTTTCTAATCTTGTATAACTTTGTGTTCCTAGCAGATACACATTAAAATAAATTTTATTTGTAAATTACTCTTGGTTGTTCATCTAAATAGAGGTGAAATTACTCTTGGTTGTTCATCTAAATAGAGGTGAACCTTGGTAATAAGCCTGTTGCTACCGAGAACATTATTTCCTTTTTGTGGAACCTCTGAATTATTGTAAAGAATATTTAATTCATGTGATAATTTGACAATCTGTGAGCACTTCTGTGTGCTAGACACTGGGTTGAGCACTAAGTATGTAATGAACCAGCTGGACAAATTCTTGCCCTCATGGAGCTTTTGTTCTGGTGGGGGAGTTCAGATACAAAAAGTACAAAAATGCTTTAAGGTAAGAAGATACACAGGACCAGGTGGGGCTATATTGGATAGAGTTTTAGGGACCTCTTCACTGCAGAAGTGACTTTTGAGCAGTGATCTCAGTGGAGAGAGGAACAAGCCATGGGATTGCTGAGGAAAGTACGTTCTAGGATGTAGAAGCAATGAATGCCCAGGCATGTAGGTGGCAGGGGAGATGGAGTATTTAGGGAAAAGCAAGGAGGCCATCATAGAGCACTGAGTGAGGGAGAGACTGGTGTGCTGTGACATCAGACAGCTGGCCAGGGATCTGATCTCGTGAGGTTTTGAAGGCCAGAGTAAGGACTTGGACTATTCTAAGAGTCAAAAGCCATGGGAGGGCTTGAGCGGGATAGACTCTGGTGACTTCCTGAGGAGGGATAAGGGGAGAAACAGGGAGACCAGTTAGGAGACTGTCACAGCAGTCCAGGCAAGAAAAGCTTGTGGCTTATTTACCGTAGAATACGGGATGCAGTAAAAAGTGTTTGAAGCAAGGGGTAGCTAATGAGACTTGTAGAGAGATTAGGGTTCGGGTGTGAAGGAAATAGAAATAAGGAGTCATGGATGATTTTGTGTACAACTAGGTGGTACTGTGTACTGAGAGGAGGAGGCTGAGTAGAGAAGCAGCTTCAAGGTGTATCACAACTTTGTCTATACTCATATGAAGTGCCTTGTAGGTATCTGGATGTCTGGATAGTGCCCAGGCTCTTGGTTTTCTTTTGCAGAAGTATTCAAAGCCACTTGAGATGCAGCGTTTAGATTTGATCTATGCTATTGCCAGAGTAGTAACCATTTGGGGCATACTTTGGTCTTGTTTTTGAGGAAGATGTTTGGATGTTCAAAGGGGAAAATACATATATTGTTACATAACAGATTTCATATTTAATTTTATGGGAAAAGTCATAATCAGTTGACTTGGTTTTAAATAGCAGCAGCCACTTATTGAGAAACAAATATTATAATTTCAATTTTCATTTTACTTTAGATCATTCTATGATGAAAGCAGTTATCAAAAAAGTTCTCCAGAATGGAAGGAGTGCTAAGTCAGAGGTATAACATGTTTTAGTCCTGTAGAAAGAATTTTTCTTTAATTCTTGTTTTTCTTCTATTTGCTTATAAAAAAATTGCCAAGGCATTGTTCTGCCATTTAAAATTAAATTTTCAATCAAAGCAAGTGGCTTTACTGCTTTGAAAATATTATTTAATTCTTTAATTTGGGGTCCCAAAACTGCAGATTGGAAACCTTTTATTTGTTTATATTGTCTATAATTTTCAGTTAAGATCAGACCTCATAAATTACTTTTAACTGAAATGCAATATTTATCTCTTTCAGTACCAGTGGATAACTTCTCCGTCAGTAAAAGAACCATCCAAAACTACAAGACAGAAAAAGAGAACTATAATCCTAGGAAGTGGCCGAAAAGGAAAAGCTACTATTAGGATTGGTAACCCTTTCTGTCTTGGCTTTTTAGTGCTGCTAGAACTTACTCCCCTGTTGTTTTCCAATGTGCTAAAATCTCATCTCATTGGGGTATTGACGGTAGCAACAGTATTGACTACATGCATATTACGAGAACTAGAATTGTTCTGACACAGATTATGGGACTTTATGGAATGTAGAAATGACCAATGAATCAGTAGGAAAGAGGTGCTAATATTTCATAAGTTAACTACTTCTGTAGTTTATTTTTCATAAAAGAGTCATCATTTTGAATGTTTCCTGCTTGATGATTACTTCTTGCAGTTAAAATTTGGGGTGTACTTTGATGGCAACTTTAGCCATACTTTTGCATAATTTTTTGTTTTTTTAACAAAGAACTACTTTTTTTTTGCTATAGGAATAGGGAACAAAATATTTTCCAAGCTTTATTTTTAACTCATGTTCCTCCCTCCATCTTTGCAAATTCTTACCCACAATTATTAAATCAGATAACATCTTGCTTTCTTCAGTGGTGGAAAAAACCCCTAAAACATAAAATTATTATAAAGCAGTGCTACAGACAAGTTTATTGGCCCTAGAATGGAACATTTTAGAAAGACATTTTCTAAATGTTTGGTATAAAGTATGTTTAATCTTCCAAATAGTGGTTAATCTGCATGTAAAAAAATAAGTTTTTAATTTTACAATCAATTGTAATGAAAAAACTCTTTATAAATCTCTTTAGCAACTGGTAACATGAATTTCACATTCTTCTGTATATATAAATTTGGTGTTATCTACTTCTACTGATTTTTTTTCACTTTTATTTTCTAGAACACCTTTAGTCACACATAACCTTGTTTTCATAAGAATTAATGAAATGAATAGTAGAATAAATTAAGCCAAATCTGATATGAAACTGACCATTTAAAAATGGTAAAATCATAGGGACTAATATAGAAGAAACAAAATAAATCTTTTATGTTTATAATCTGGCAATTTCTTAGAAAAAAATTTGTGACATTAGTTATATACAAGATACATTAAAAACACCAAACAATTAACAGTAAACAGCCTCATGTTTGAATGCTACCCAAAATTTTAAAATGTTATTTTACACTTAAAAATGATTGAGACTGAATATTTAAGATTATTTTTAGCACAATTAAAAGAAATAGTTGAGTGAAGAGTATTGATTAAATTTTATAAAAATATTGTATATAGACTGTCAGGGGATATAAAAATGGAAACCATCTCCAATTCCATTCTATCAAACAATCTTTACATTTTCCTTTCTTCCTATTATCTATAAATATAATTTCATGTAGCTTAAATATAATTTGGCATTCATTTTTTACTTTATATTAAATTAAAATTTTACATGATTCATGTAATACCTTTACAAGATTTTATTGAATTTTTGGGTTAATATTTTAGACTGGTAAAAACTTGGAAATAACATCAATATTGGCCGGTGCTGCGGCTCAATAGGCTAATCCTCTGCATGCGGCGTAGGCACACCAGGTTTTAGTCCCGGTCGGGGTGCTAGATTCTGTCCTGGTTGCCCCTCTTCCAGGCCAGCTGTCTGCTGTGGCCCGGGAGTGCAGTGGAGGATGGCCCAAGTGCTTGGGCCCTGCACCCCATGGGAGACCAAGATAAGCACCTGGCTCCTGGTTTTGGATCAGCACAGCGTGCCAGCCATGGCGGCCATTGGAGGGTGAACCAATGGAAAAGGAAGAGCTTTCCCTCTGTCTCACTGTCCACTCTGTCAAAAAAAAAAATCAATATTAAATAATTTTTAAATGGTACCATTGCCATCTTCAGAAATACAATTTCTTGTTTTACTACTAAAAGATAAATTTTTTAAAAGATTTATTTATTTATTTGAAAGTCACAGTTAGAGAGAGAGAGAGAGAGGGAGAAAGAGATCTTACATCACTGGTTCATTCCCCAAATGAATGCAGTGGCTGGGTTTGAACGAAGCCAAAGTCAGGAGCCAGGAACTCCATTCAGGTCTCCCATGTGGGTGGCAGGGGCCCAAGCACTTGGGCCATCTTCTACTGCCTTCCGAGATGCCGTCACAGTGACTTGAACCAATGCCCATGTGGGATGGCAGTGTTGCAGGTGGCAGCTTAACCACCTGTAACCCAGTGTTGGCCCCAAGAGAAATGTTTTTGATTCACTATTAACCAACATGTTTGTAGTAAATAGTAATTTTTATGACTGTTTTAAATGGCATAGGATTGTCCACCTATTTTTATTTTAGAACAGTGATATGTTAGTAGTCAGTCAAATAGTATATATAAAGAACAAGTTGAGCTTTGTGACATCACACTAGTTATATATATTATTTTAAAAGTTCATATCATATAAAGCGATCCAGGTTGGTGTTTTGATATAATGTTAAACAGAAGTCTGTAATATTAGTAGCTAATGGTATGTAATAGGGTGTTAGACAAGAATAAAAGCAAAAACTAGTTTCTTAACACAATGAAGAAAAGGAAATGTGACTGAAGTTGACAAGCTCACTGAGCTATCTTAACAGTAATTTTGTTTTTGGGCTTTTTTGTTTGTTCTTTTTGTATTTGCCTCAGTTATTTGGAGACATAGAGGTAAGCCAATTGAATGTCTGGTTGTATACTTAAATTGTGGTGAATATAGGGATTAAATCATATATGTGAATTGTATCACATCCACGTTGTAATGAAGTATACAGAAAGAAGATAGGAATTTTTATTAGAAATTTTTTCTTCTAATCTCAAATTCTGTTGGTTTTAATCAAAAATATATTTCCATATCTGAAAGTGAAGGAATGGGTACACAAACAATGCATAGGAACAGTCTTTGTTTGAAAGTAATTAGGTTAAAAGAAACAGAATAGCACAAAGTGAACAAAGCTCCTATGCATTGTAAGAGGCATGTGAATTTATCCAAAGGCATGCTGATTACCAATGAGTTATACTGTATTTGTTCTGTATTGCCACTTTCACTTTATTTAGATACCATCCTAAGGCTGCAAAAATGGATCTAGGTGTTATATAGTGAAATAATTTGTTCTCAGAAATATTAGATACAGATATTTACCTGTGGATTTTTCTTAAGATTTATGGACTTATTTATTTAAAAGGCAAAACAGCACAAGAGAGAAATCTACTTTCTGTTCTGGTTCACTCCTCAAATGGCCACAAAAGCTATTTCTGGTCTAGGCCACAGCCAGGAGCAAGGATTTCCATCCTGCTATACATAGGTGCCAGGGACCTGAATACTTGTACCATCTTCTGCTGCCTTCCCAGGCACATTAGCAGGAAGCTGGACTGGAAGCAGAGTAGCCAGGACTTGAACCAACACTATGATGTGGGATGCTGGTGCTGCAAACAGTAGGCCTTATATCTTAATATGTGGTTTGTTTTAAGTAAAATATTAATGCTTAAATCTAGCTTTTGTTACCAAATACTTAATATATAAAGATACTTGACTCTTTAGTATTGTAATAAAGGCTAAATTTCTACATTTCCTTCTTTCATCCAGTAAGTTTTAACTTGTTTTATGTTTTCTTTTTTAAAAAATTATTTCTTGAAAGAGAGAGATAGAGAGAGACGGAAAGACAGACCTAAATGTCCAACAGCCAGAACTGGGCCAAGCCAAAGTAAGGAGCCAGTACCTCAATCTGGGTCTCCCACATGGGTGGCAGGGACTCAACTACTTGAGCCTACCTCCCAGGATGTGCATTAGTCAGAAATGGAAATTGGAAGAAGAGGCAGAACTTGAACCCAGGCACTCCCATATGGGATGTATGCATTTCAAATAGTGTCTTAACCATTGCACTGAACACTTCAGTGTTTTCTGTGAAAGCAAATGAGCACTCAAGATCACCTACCGCTCACCTACCACTGAGCAACCTTCAATCATGTGACTTTGGTAGTCGTCACATAGTAAAATTAATCTTAACTTGAACTCTTGGTCTAATTCAGGAGGCTTGGTTTGGCAGTCATATGTGTGTCTGTGTATATGTCCTTGAAATTTACAAATGCCTAAGATGTTCTGAGACTCAGTAAACTGAGCATTTCTGCATGATATAAAATGAAGTGTATCATGTACAATCTTTAATTATTTGGAATATATTTTATGTACTTTCATATGTTCACATTTCATATACTCATACTTTGTTAAAACTTACCACTATTGAGAACTTACTTTAAAACTTTGCTGGCTGATTTTAAAATATTTTAAAAATTGACCCTGTTTTTAAGGCCTTAGTCTCATTGTCAAGTTCTTTTTGGAGTATGCACATGTGATAAGTAATCTGTAGGCCTTTATAGTACATCTTGATTCTTTAATACTTTCTCAAACATAGGATTGGCTACAAAGAAACCTGTAAGTACTGGGAAAAAGCACTGCGCTGGTAAAGAATACTATGCTCCGGAACCTCTGCCACCTGGTGTGTGTGGTTTCCTGCCATGGCGTACTGCAGAACGTGCAAACAGGACCAGGTATTTGTATCCTCTGTCTTAGTCATTCACATTTCTTTACTTTAGAACTTTATTTGTATTCTCTTTTAGTCATTCACATTTCTTTACTTTGGAACTTCTGTTATGTAGAGGTTCTCATTGTTTCTATAGAGTAAAAAGATGTTGGCTTTTGCCTAGAGTCCATTAAGGAGGAAGAATGAAAAATAACTGCTTAATTTGGAGTTTCAACTTACTTTCTAAGTGTTATAAGTTGTAACCCTGTGAGAGGAAAGAAGAGACCAAAGTGGTCTCCACTGCTGGTGAGAAAAGGCTTCAGTACAAGCATGTGTAGTTGAAATAGGCTGTGCAGGACAGAAGTAGGGATTTGGGTATGCAGGAATGGGGAAAACGATAGCATAGTAGTTTAGGGCAAAATGAATGAAACAGATGGATTGCTCTGGATCTAGCTCAGTCAGCTGGCCCAACTCTCATTTTAGTGCATCATTTAGTGAATCACAGTAGATTTAGCTAATTTTAACCAATTACTTACCTAGCAGATAACTATTCAGAGTAATATATGCCAAAATCTTTTTAAATTATTGTACTATAATTTTGGCCATGTTAAATGAATGAAATTCGTATAGATGATTTTCAGATGTTTGGTTTGGTGATGTTCAAGATATTGGGGCCCAAAAGTTGCTTAAGAAAAACAAAAATTTTAAACAGACCTGGAATTAAGCACTTTGTAACATGTCTGTTCATTTGCTTACACTAAACCAATGTGTATAATCTTCATTAGGCAATTATAATTTTTCAGAAATGGTAATGTGAGTTCTTATTATATAAACTGTAGTGCTGAGACCCCAGTCTTTAGTTTTATAAATTTGCAGTTTCATATCTCTTTGGATACTTATTAATCTTAAATCTGTTCTGGTCACAAAGAGTTGTAAATTAGAAAATGATTAATATCACTAAAGAAATTAGACCATACTGCTAACTAATCTTTGGCAAAGGAGCTAAAATCACTCCCTGCAGATCAGAAAGTCACTTCAACAAATGGTGCTGGGAAAATTGGATCTCCACATGCAGAAGTATGAAAGATGAGTCCTATTACACCCTTTACAAAAATCAACTCACAATGAATCACAGATCTAAACCTAAGACTGGAGACCATCAAATTACTAGTGGAATAGGAAGATGGCCATATAACAACAGGATGATCTGAGTCACACGAGGCAAAATAGATAGTTAAAAATGAAAGAGGATACAAGCTGGCAGTAGAGCTAGGGGAAATTCACGCAGGGAAGCCAGGAGTCCAGCAGAGTCCACAGTGAAGGAACAAATAAGAAAGGGAAGTGGCAGAGACGCAGAACAGGGAGGCTGGTGCCGCCCACTCAACAGACCAGGTTACAGAGGAAATTGTGAGTCCACAGAGCTGCAGATAGCAGCGGGATGGGGAGCTTGGCGAACAGCATTTGAAGTCCCACGTGGGAAGAAAGAGAAGGTTTAAGGGAAGAAACAGGTTGGTATGCCCCTGTCCATCTACATCTTCCCCCTCCGGCAAACTGGACCTGCAGCAGGCTGGGAGAAGCCATATTGATTGTTTACATTTTCAAATATAAGCAGAGGGCTACCACGTTAGCCTCATGGGCATACAGCCATCAACTGCAGGGGCCACCTTACCACACCCGACCCAGGAATGAGGACCACAACATCTCAGTAATTGGGTGTAGAAGGAACATTCTTGAATACACCCAAGGCAACTTATGACGAACCCACAGCCAGTGTCCTATTGAATGGGGAAAAGTTTGAAGCATTCCCACTGAGATCCAGAACCAAACAAGGATGCCCAAGGATGCTCAGACAAGGCTGGTCACCATTGCTAATCAATATAGTACTGGAAATTTTAGTCAGAACCATCAGGCAAGAAAAAGAAAGGGATACAGATGGAGAAGGAGGAAGTCAAACTATCCCTATTTGCAGATGACATGATTCCATATATAGGGTATCCAAAAGACTTCACCAAGAGACTATTGGAACTCAGAAGAGTTTGGTAAAATAACAGGATATAATATTAACACACAAAAAACAACCTTTTTATACACAGACAATGCCACAGCTGAAAAAGAACTGCTAAGACAATCCCATTCACAATAGCCACAAAAAACAATCAAATACCTTGGAATAAATTTTAAAATAAGATAGAAAAAAATAGAAAAAACTTGCATGTTCATGAATTGGAAGAATCAGTATCATCAAAATGTACATATTGCTGAAAGGAATTTACAGATTCAATGCAATACCAATCAAAATACCAAAGACATTCTCCTCAGATCTAGAGAAAATTATACTGAAATTCATTTGGAAACATAGAAGACCCCGAATTGCTAAAGCAATCTTATACAAAAAAAACAAAGCCGGAGGCATCACAATACCAGATTTGAAAACATACTATAGGGCAGTTATAATCAAAACAGCCTGTTAATGGTACAAACACAGATGGACAGACCAATGGAACAGAATAGAAACGCCAGAAATCAATCCAAGTATGTGCAACCAACTAATATTTGACCAAGGAGCTAAAACCAATCACTGGAGCAAAGATAGTGTCTTTAACAAATGGTGCTGGGAAAACCAGATTTCCACATGCAGAAGTATGAAGCAGGACCCCATACCTTACACATTACACCTTACATAAAAATCCATTCAAAATGGATTAAAGACCTAAACCTATGACCTGATACCCTGAAATTATTAGAACATTGGGGAAACTCTGCAAAACATTGGCACAGGCAAAGAGTTCCTGGAAAAGACCCCAGAATCACAGGCAATAAAAGCCTGCATACCAACCTTCCCAACAAATGGGGCTACATCAAATTGAGAAGGTTCTGTATTATAAAAGAAACATGCAGGAAAGCAAAAAGGTAAGTGACAGATTGGGAGAAATTATTTGCAAACCATGCAACTGAAAAAGGATCAATAATTAGAATATATAGAGATCAAGAAACTCCACTGCAACAAAACAAACCACCCAGTGAAGAAATGGACAACGAACTTAAACAGACATTTTACAAAACAAATCCAAATGTTAACAGGACATGAAAAAATGTTCAGGACCACTAGCCATCAGGGAAATGCAAATCAAAACCACAGTGAGGTATCACTTCACCCCAGTTAGAATGGCTTTCATATAGAAATCAACAAACAACAAATGCTGCTGAGGATGTATGAAAAAGAAACCCTAATCCACTGTTGGTGGGAATATAAAACCACTAAGGAAGACAGTTTGGAGATACCTCAGAAATCTGAATATAGACCTGCCATACGACCCAGCCATCCCACTCCTGGGAATTTATCAATGGGAAATGAAATAAGCAAATAAAAGAGTTATCTGCACCCTCATGCTAATTTCATCTCAATTCACAATCGCTAAGCCATGGAATCAACCTATATGTCCATCAACTGAAGACTTGATAAATTATTGGGTGTGTGCTCTATGGAATACTACACAGTGTTAAAAAGAAATGAAATTTGGTCATTTGCAACAAAATGGATGAATCTGGAAAACATCATACTATTGAAATAAGCCAGTCCCAAAAGGAAAAATGCCATATGTGCTCCCTGATCTGTGGTAACTAACAGAGCACCGAAAAGGAGACTTGTAGAAGTAAAACTGACATTGTGAGAAGCAATGACTTGAATAGCTCTTGTCTTGCATGTTGAAAGTTTTATTATTTTTATTTTTTTCCTTTAATGTGGTTGGTTGAACTCTTCACATAGAATTAATCATATGTGTCTAAAGTCAGTTGAAAATAGATCCCAGTAAAAAATAAGAGTGGGAATAAGAGAGGGAGTACCTGTATAGTTCTGCATATTTCCCCATGGACTTACTTCTAAGAGTAAAGCTAAAAATTTGCCATGGGACTCCCAAATCCCATTAAGTTGGGTGGTAAGAATGCTATCTTACATGTTAAAGTAATCATAGTCAGTGTTTAATTGATCATATAGATAGGAGTAAGTGTCATATGAGTCATATAAATAAGATCAAATAAGATCTTATAAATAAGATCTACAATAGGTAGAATTAAGGAGAGAATGTTCCAACATGGGAAGCAGTCCACGCAGCAGACTCATAGAATGGCAGACACCCTAAACAGCACTTTGACCTCAGAATCAGCCCTTAAGACATTGCGTCTTGCTTAAAAAACCATGAAAGTATTTCAGGAATGGAAAGAGAAGACACTGTGGCAAAAAAAAAAAAAAAAAAAAAAAAAAAAAAAAAAAAACCTACATGAAAGATCTCTGTGAGTGAGACCCCAGGAGAAAGAAGGGGCTGTCAGTGTAGGATCTAGTTTTCTCTGAAGGGTGGAGAGAACTTGCAGTTTGCTTATGGTCTTGTCTAAACACTGATGTAGATCATGGGCTCAAGAGTCCTTCATAGCCTTGTTAGTTCATGTCAAGAGCCTCGGGTGATCACTGACATCATATGTGAGTCACTGTACACTGACTCTCGATGCAGGACCTCTGTCCTTAATGAGTTGTACTAAGGGAATTAACTGTAAAACTTGTTCTCAACCAGTTATTATATGTGTGTGGGGGGTGCAAATTGTTGAAAACTTTATTTAGTATAGAGTTGGTCTTCTGTATATAAAGTTAGTTGAAAATGAATCTTAATGAAGATTGGGATGGGAGAAGTAAGAGGAGATAGGATGAGAGTTGGGAGGATAGTCATGTGGGGAAGAGCCACTATATTCCTAAAGTTGTACTTTTAAAATTTGTATTTATTAAATAAAAGGCTTTTTTTAAAAAGTTACTACAGGAAGACATAGGGGAAACATTGAAGACATTGGTCTAGGCAAAGACTTCTTGGAAAAGACCCTAGAAACACAAGCAACAAAAGCAAAAATAGGCAAATGAGATTATATCATGCTAGGAAGCTTTTGCACAGCAAAGAAAACACTCAACTAAGTGAAGAGGTATCCAACAGAATGGGATAAAATGTCTACAAACTGTGCATGTGGTAAAAGCTTACTATCTGTAATATTTAAGGAAGTCAAGAAACTTAGCAACAACAAACAATCAGGCCCACTAGCCATGTGGAAAATGCAAATAAAAATCACAATGAGGTTTTACCTCACTCCAGTTAGAATGGATATCATCCAAAAATCTAAAAAAAAATGCTGATGAGGGTGTAGAGAAAAAGGTACCCTAATACACTGTTGGTAAGAATAAAAACTTTTACAACCATTATGAAAAACAGTATTGAGACTCCTCAGAAACCTTAAAGTAGATCTACCATATGATCCAGCCTTCCCCTTCCTGGGAATATACTCAAATGAAATGAAATCTACATGTGAGTGAGTTACCTGTACCCCCATGTTTACAGCAACTGAGTTCACAATAGTTAAGATACAGAGTCTACCAAGATGTCCATCAAATTGATTGGATACAGGAAATGTGGTTTACATACATTATGGACTACTACTTAGTAATGAAAAATGAAATCGTAGGCCTGGTACTGTGGCTTAGTGGGTGAGGCCGCCACCTGAGGTGCCAGCAACCCATGTGGGCACTGGTTCAAGTACCAGCTGCTCCACTTTGATCTGTTCTCTGCTGTGGCCTGGGAAAGCAGTGGAGGATGGCCAAGTCCTTAGGCCCCTGCACCCACGCAGGAGACCTGGAGGAGGTTCCTGGCTCCTGGCTTCAGATCGGCACACCTCCAGCCATTGCAACCATCTGTGGAGTGAACTAGCTGATGGAAGACCGCTCTCTCTCTTCCTCTGCTTCTCTGTAACTCTGCCTTTCAAATAAATAAATAAATCTTAGAAAAACAAAAGAATGAGTTTTCCATTCAATTATTAAAAAAAGAATAAAGTCCTGTCTTTTGCAATGAAATGGGTGCGTCTAGAGACCTTTATGCTTGGTGAAATAAGGTAGACCCAGAAAGACTAATATCACATTTTCTCTGATTTGTGGTAGCTAAATATGAGTATAAATACCCTTTAGAATTGATACCTTGAGATTTTATTATTGTTTTTAGCCTTTATCTGTATTCCTGCTGAACACTTGTCTTTTTTTTTTAAGATTTATTTATTTGAAAGGCAGAGTTAGAGAGAGAGCGCTCTTCCATCTGCTGGTTCACTCCCCAAATGGCCTCAGCGAATACCTGGAGCTGGGGCAACCCAAATCCAGGAGTATGTAGCTTCTTCTGGGTCTCTCACATGGGTGCAGGGGCCCAAGGACTTGGACCATCTTCTACTGCTTTCCCAGGCTATAGCAGAGAGCTGGATTGGAAAGGGAGCAGGTTGGACTTGGTGTCCCTATGAGATGCTGGCACTGAAGGCTGCAGCTTTACCTGCCACGCCATAGCACTGGCCCCTGAACACTGTTTTTTTTTTACTTTTGTCTTATTGAACTCTGTTTATTTATCATTTGTTATATATTACTTGTTTAGCATTAACCTGTGATTACAAAGTAAATTAAAAATTGTTTTTGCAAAAACTTTAAAAAAATAAGAAAGGAAGGAGGGGGTGAGAGAGGGAAGTATCATTATATTCTTAGAATTGTGTCTATGCAATCTGTTCTTTATATTAGTTTATAAATATTTTTATAAAGACTGAAAATCTCAGCCAGCAGCTATCTTGAAGATAGGAACTGAGTGTGTCTCTCAGCAGTTTAGAGTTGTCACCATGCCATCCTGCCAAATTCTAAAATTTCTCCATTAGCAGAGTGTTCAGGCTCCTTATTTTTTAGGTTATTTTTATACACAGTTCCATATGGATAGTGTCCATATTACTAGTAATGTTTGTTGCCTTTTGTTAACTGGTAGTATATTCTCATCAAAATATAACCTAATTTACTGCTATTTCTTCAGGGGGTTTCCATTAATCAAAACTCGGGATGTATCTAATCAGTTGCAGGTATGTAGTTACTATGTTTATTATATGTAGGGGGTTGGAATGGGAAAGGTGGAGGAGAATCATTTTCTGTGCTTTTTAAATTAAACATGCCTTTCTGCCTGAAATAAATTCATTGAAAACTTTCCAGGTTGCTCTCCCAATGCTATGGGATAGTTGAGTGGATTTGGCATACATTAGGGGCCTTGTGGATTCATTTGTAGACAAGAAAAGTCCCTTCTCCAGTCCACAGATCAGCTCTTGCCCAGTGAAACAAATTTGACCTCCACTTCTTAGCATGGAGATTTCATATTTAAAAAAAAGGCTTCTAGAAATGTTTTGGAGATGACTATATACAAGGTCTTCAAAAAATGGAAATATAATATTTAAATGCATGTTATAAAAAGCTATGCAAGAATTAAAAAAAAAGCTTTGTATCAAAATCAACTTAATTCCATTTTTTATTAACTTTTGAAGTACCTATGGACATATAGGTTCTGGGTCCTAAAGTCAAAACAAAGTGGCAAATTGCAGAGCCCCTGCTTTCTGAGAGCATTTCTTCCTCCCTCTGCAAGGCCGCGGAACAAGCTAATTCTGTCAGAGTACCATTCTCCTTGTCAGGTGTCCTGGGAACTGAATTCTCCATAGAAGATCGTTCTGCTGAGAGTGAGTGCTGAGCATGCTGGGTGTTAGTACTGCCCTCTGTGTGCTCAAGAGTTGCAGTGCACATCTCATCCTTCCATTTAGATTGTTTTGTAGACTGCAGGGATTGCCGCTCGCAGTAGAAATTCTGTCCTAGTGACTCCTACAGTTATGTCAGCCCAGCACTCGGCTTTTTAATCCTAGACCAAGTCAGGTTTTGTTTTTTTCTTTAAGATTTATTTATTTTGTTTGAAAAACAGTGACAGAGGGATAGAAAGATCTTCCATCCGCTGATCAACTCTCCCAAATGTTTGCAACAGCTGGGACTGGGCCAGGCTGAAACCAGGAGCCAGGAACTCCAGCTGGGTCTCTGATGTGGGTGGCAAGGGCCCAAGCACTTGAACAATCATCTAACTTCCAAGTGCATTAGCAGGAAGCTAGCTTGGAAGCACAGAAAAGGGGGGACTTGAACAAGTGCTCAGATACAGGATATGAACACCCAAGCGGTGGCTTGACATACTGTGTGCCACAGTGCGCGCCCCTAGTTTTCTTTTAAATGTTGGCAAAATATATTAAGCAACATTCCAGTGGTAGTGAAACTTGACAGAATTGTGTAGTTAATGCCCACATTTTGGTTTAAGAAAGAGGAAATGAGGTGTCTGATTGGTCAGTTTTAGTTGTGTATGTGTCCATAGTTTATTAAAAAATCTATTCTAGTATTTGTTCAGAGTTAAGCTATATTGACTTTCTAATTGTTAAGTTCCCTACTGATGGATTTCCCTCCTGAAAGTTACATTTTATTCTGGATTTTTTTGTGTTTGTGATGGAGAATAAATTTCTCATCTACAGTATAAAATTTATCTGAGAGAAAATGCTTAACCTGGCTCCTCACTTGGTTTATGTGACGGAAATCTAATAAAGTAGGCTATTCCAAATACTAAGGATACCATATGTGACAGAGTTCTTTAAAGTAATAACAAATTAGCGTTTACTTTGTTATCAATAAGGGAAGACATTTATAGATAATGGCTTGATACTTCACAAGATCACTTTGATTAGATGTCCTTCAATATTTGCTTCATATTATTACTTATGGAATCCTGTCCTCTTTCTTTAAGCAATCAAAGTTTCCTGTGACTGTGACAGTAGAGAGTCCTTCGTCTTCAGAAATTGAAGAGGTTGACGATTCTTCAGAAAGTGTTCATGAGGTGCCTGAGAACATCAGTTTAAAACAAGAAGCATTGCAGGTACAGAGCTGTACATTTTACAGATACTTCATACTGTTGTATTTCAAACTGTAGTTGGTGTTTGGCAGAAACTTATGAAATGGTTCTCAACAACTGGCCTGAGGAGTCAGTTCTCCCCTCCCTTCTAACTCCAGTCTCCCGAAATGGTCCCTTAGCTTAGAACAAAGTGAAAGAAGGACGTGTGAAGCATCCAGCATCCCATATGGGTGCTGGTTCTAGACCTGGCCGTTCCACTTCTGACCCAGCTCTCTGCCAATGCCCTGGGAAAGCAGGTCCTTGGGCCCCTGTACCCATGTAGGAGACCTGAAAGAAGCTCCTGGCTCCTGGCCCAGTCCTGGCTTTTGTGGCCTTTTGGGGAGTGAACCAGTGGATGGAAGATCTCTCTCTGTCTCTCCTCTCTCTCTTTCAATTAAATAAATAAATTTTGAAAAAAAAAAAAAAAAAGAAAATCTAAATCATGCCATCAGCAATATATTTTTCTTTATTTAGAATCATAAAATATTTGTTTTAAGGAGAACCTTCATGATAAACTTAGAAAAATTGAATAAAAAAAGTATGTTTAACTGATTCAGCACCCTTATTTTATATACCAGCAAATTGATTTTTCTAGCTGAACTCTCTTGTTATAAGAGGAATATTTAACTATTTTTAATAAAAGTAAAAATGGAAAAAAATTTGGATAATTGATTTTCTCCATTGTTAAAACATTTCAAATTTTAAGAAGCATCAGTATATTACTTTATAAACATGCCATCTAATGTCAGTCTATACTTCTATAAATATTAGAAAATAAAAATTGGTTTTTATAACAAACTTTTGCACCCACAAGAATACTGTATGTGGGGCAGGTGTTTGGCCCATTGGAATGCGTGAGTTCTGGTCTTGAGTCTGCTCCTGATTCCACCTTCTTCTAATGCTTACCCTGGGAAGGAACAGATGAGGCCTCAAGTAGTTGGGTCCTTACTATACATGTAGGAGACTTGGATTGAGTTCAGGGTTCTTGGTTTCTACCTGACTCAGTCCTGGCTATTGCAGGCATTTGGAGAGTACAGAAGTAGAGGGAAGATTGCTGTCTACCTTTGAAATAAATTAAGTAAATAAATAAATATTTAAAAATAGTGTATCGGAGTCTTGGAAACATCCATAGAAAATGTATATTATGAAAAAAAAAACCAGATTTCAAACTTTTTGTTCCAAAATAAATTTATTTTAATTCCATTTTCTAGTAACTTTTTGAAGTATCCTTGTATTCATTTTATTTCAGCCTTAATGCAGAGCTGATAATTTATATTAAAGGAAATACCATTTTGGGAGTCATTTTTTTTTATGTGCTACAATGTCCACATGTAGTTTTTTATTATAGTTTTCTTTTAATGTGAAACTTACAAATATAGCAATAGTTATCTCGTCTCTCCTCCTCCCCCTTTGGAATTTATTTCTCAGAGTTCTAGAATGTGGGAAGTCTCAAGTTTAGTGTTTTGGAGGGCCTGCTTTTGGCTCACAGATGCTACCTTCTTGCCCTGTCCTCCCATGATATAAGGATGGTTGTCCCTTTTTTAGGGGTGATATCCCTGCCAGCCACATGGGAGACTCAAATTGATTTCCTGGCTCCTGGTTTTGGCCTGACCTGACCCCAGCTGTTACAGGCATTTCGGGGTAAACCTGTGCATAGAAGTACTCTGTCTCTGTCTCTCTGCCTTTCAAACAAAAATAAATGAATAAATACAAGTGGTTGTAGCCTTTGGGAGGACCAGAGTTGGACTTGAAAGGAGGGAATTTCTGATTGAAGATGTTCAGAGGACTCTCTCAGCTCTTCTTTGTTTGTGAACTCACTAAAATATGGTATCAATTTTTTCCCCAAAGAAAACTTTTATTTAAGGAATACAGACTTCATGCATTTCATAAATACAACTTTGGAAAATAGTAATTCTTCTCATCATACCCACCCTCCCACCCATACTCCCGTCCCTCCACCTCTTCCCTCTCCATTTCCAGTCCCATTCTCCACTAAGATTCATTTTCAATTAACTTTATAAACAGAAGACAACTCTATACTAAGTAAAGAGTTGAATAATTTGCACACACAGAAAAACTGTTCCTCAACAGTTGAGAAAAGGGGCTGTTCAATGTCATTGTATTTTGACATTAATTTCACTTTTTTTGTGAAAATTAACTTTAAAGAAGTACCCAGGAATTATACATTTTTTGTGAGCACTTAGATATAATTATAATACAACTCCTTCAGGATAGAGGTCCTGCATGGGAAGTTAGTGCACAGTGACTCCTGTTGTAAATTTAACAATTAACACTTTTACGTATGACATCAGTGATCACCTGAGGCTCTTGACATGAGCTACCTAGGATATGGAAGCCTTTAGAATCCACAAACTCCATCAGTATTTAGACAAGGCCATAAGCAAAGTGGAAGTTCTCTCCTCCCTCCAGAGAAAAGTACCTCCTTCTTTGATGACCACTTCTTTCCACTTGGGTCTCACCCACCAAGGTCCTTCATGTAGGACATTTTTTGCCACAGTGTCTTGGCTTTTAATGCCTAAAATGCTTTTCAGCCAGAACAGAATGCCTTAAGGGCTGATTCTGAAGTCAAAGTGCTACTTAAAGCTATTGTTATTTTCTGAGTGCTGTATGGACTGCTTCCCATGTTGGAGCATTCCCTCCTTTTCAGACACTAAATCCTATCCATATGATCACTTTAACATTTAAGATGGTATTTTTACCACCTAGCTTAAGGGGACTTGGGGTCCCATGGCAAGTTCTTGAACTGTACCCTTAGAAGTAAATCCATAGGAATGTATGCAGAACTGTACAACTTTACAGTTACAAACTTAATATACCTCATAATTTCAACTTTAGGAACATGGTGATTCTTTTTTTTTTTTTTTTTAAACTTTTATTTAATGAATATAAATTTCCAAAGTACGACTTATGGATTACAATGGCTTCCCCCCCATACCGTCCCTCCCACCCACAACCCTCCCCCTTTCCACTCCCTCTCCCCTTCCATTCACATCAAGATTCATTTTCGATTATCTTAATATACAGAAGATCAGCTTAGTATACATTAAGTATGGATTTCAACAGTTTGCTCCCACACAGAAACATAAAGTGAAAATAATAGATGATTTTTTTTAAATGATGATGAAATCAGAGCAGACCTATTGTCATGTTTAATCCCAGTGAGAGTCAAGTTGGGAATTGATAATTTCTTTTTTTTTTTTTTTTTTTTTTTTTTTTACAGAGGATCAGTTTAGTATGCATTAAGTAAAGATTTCAACAGTTTGCACCCCCATAGAAACACAAAGTGAAATATATTGTTTGAGTACTCGTTATAGCATTAAATCTCAATGCACAGCACATTAAGGACAGAGATCCTACATGAGGAGTAAGTGCACAATGACTCCTGTTGTTGACTTTACCAATTGACACTCCTGTCTATGGCATCAGTAATCTCCCCATGCTCGAGTCATGAGTTTCCAAGGCTATGAAAGCCCTCTGAGTTCTCCGACTCTTATCTTGTTTAGACAAGGTCATAGTCAAAGTGGAGGTTCTCTCCTCCCTTCAGAGAAAGGTACCTCCTTCTTTGATGACCTGTTCTTTCCACTGGGATCTCACTCACAGAGATCTTTTGCCAGAGTGTCTTGGCTTTCCATGCCTGAAATACTCTCATGGGCTTTTCAGCCAGCTCCGAATGCCTTTAGGGCTGATTCTGAGGCCAGAGTGCTATTTAGGACATCTGCCATTCTATGAGTCTGCTGAGTATCTCACTTCCCATGTTGGATCACTCTCCCCTTTATTTACTCCATCGGTTAGCGTTAGCAGGTACTAGACTTGTCTATGTGCTCCCTTTGACTCCCAACATGGTGATTCTTATCATCTTGCTTGCCCTCCCACCTATACTACCACTTCTCTTTCTCTTCCCTCTCTTATTCCCTCTCTCATTTTTTATTGAGATCTATTTTCAGTTGACTTTATGCACATATGTTTAACTGTGTTAAGAATCAACAAATAGTATGGAAAAGAAAAAACTGTTTCTCAACAGTCAAGACAAGGGCTTTGTTGAAGTCATTGCTTCTCAAAGTGTCAGTTTTACTTCTACACATTGCCTGTTAGGTGCTCTATTAGTTATCACAGGTCAGGGAAAACATATGGTATTTATCCCTTTGGGACTGGCTTTTTCACTAAGTACTAGGAGAGGTAGAATTACAGAGAGAGAGGCCGGCGCCGCGGCTCACTAGGCTAATCCTCCGCCTAGCGGCGCTGGCACACCGGGTTCTAGTCCCGGTCGGGGCGCCGGATTCTGTCCCAGTTGCCCCTCTTCCAGGCCAGCTCTCTGCTGTGGCCAGGGAGTGCAGTGGAGGATGGCCCAGGTGCTTGGGCCCTGCACCCCATGGGAGACCAGGAAAAGCACCTGGCTCCTGGCTCCTGCCATCGGATCAGCGCAGTGCGCCGGCCGCAGCGCGCCGGCCGCGGCAGCCATTGGAGGGAGAACCAACGGCAAAGGAAGACCTTTCTCTCTGTCTCTCTCTCTCACTGTCCACTTTGCCTGTCAAAAAAAAAAAAAAAAAATTACAGAGAGAGAGAGAGGGAGAGACAGAGAGAAAGGCCCCAGATGGCTATAAGAGCCAGAGCTGAGCTGATCAAGAGCCAGAAGCCTCTTCTGGGTCTCCTATACAGGTGCAGAGGCCCAAGTACTTGGGCTATCTTCTGTTTTCTCAAGCCATAGCAGAGAGCTTAATCAGAAGAGGAGCAACTGAGACTCGAACTGGTGCCCATATGGGATGCCATACTGCAGGCTTAGCCCACTACACCACAGCCACAGCTCTGGTATCTAAAGTTTTAAAGTATGTTAACCCACAGCATTCATGAGAGTGGGAAATATTATAAAATGTTTTTGAAAGAGAGTGGGGGAAAAGTCTGAAGCTAAACCAGTAGCACCTAGAGAATGCACCAGAGCAGCCTTCAGCCTGAGCCTTCAGCTCAGA